AAAAAAAAAAAAAAAAAAAAAAAATCACCTTCAGTGTAAAAAAAGCCATTTTGCCTAGCTTCAGCTTCTACACTCATATGCAAAACTCAGTTCACTACTGAGTGATTCTCAAAGATGAGATAAAGTATGCATACACTTTTTTACTGGCCAAAACCCCAGCAACTGCTACCTAATACGATATTTTTACCAAGACAGCAGTAAGAGTATGGACAGGCAGTTCAACGCCAACTAAATATTACAACATTCATCTTTAGACCACCCCTTGATTTTATATACCACTTTGACTGCTTCCACTTTTGCTGTCTATTATGGGTTTACTGTGCTAGACTACCTCCCCTTTTTATGCTAAGGGCTTTTCTATACCCAGATTTTATCCACCACGTGTATAAGCCAAAATCAGGCTTGGTCATACCAGGATATACAAAAGAAGTTGACAGAATTGTTTTCTAGAAAATGATTCAAGACCCAACTACATTTTAAGTGTGTGAATGTGCGTGCATGCAAGAGGGGGTATTTGTGGGGAGGAGAGGACGGGAAATAGCTATGTTCAGGCAGGATGCATAAATAGTAAAAGTTTGTCATGTGGGCAAGACTAAAAATAGGGGAGAAGGTAAACAGAATTGGGAGGTAGGGAATGTCTCCTAGGAACACAGGAAAACAAAGAGTCAAGGCAGACAAGGCAAAAGTCTAAATTAAATGTTCTTTGTCCATAATGGATGAGATGTGTGAGTTCCCTGCTACACCACTCAGGTGGGATGGGGGGTAGTGGGTGGGAGGGGCTAAAATGGCAGTAAGCCACCCTGACACCTCCTCCTACCCACTCCCAATCCTGAGCGGTTTTAGGGGCAGGATTAGCCAGACAATTTTAGGGCCTGCCTAAATTATGGCACCCTTCAAGGAATGACCTGCTGGCTGTAGCACTGCCCAAGATCTTCACAGTGCTATATGCTCTGTGACGTCCATTTCTAACTCCAGCATGTCCTCTGTGCCTTGATTGTAAAGGAGGTCTCGGGAAGATGATAAGCATCTTCCCCACTCCACTAGGGGAGCTCTGTTCCCTGGAATAGGCTCTCAGGGAACCTTTATGTCACTCTGATCTCTCTTACCTAGTACAGAGGGTCCAGGGGAAGAGCAAAGATCTCACTTTTCCAGACACTTAAAGATTATTTAAGCTTCTTTTGCTGACATGAGTTGTATGCAAAAATATCCCTATTGAAGCATAAACCATGCTAGCATACAAGGTTCAAAATCTGGATCCTACTTCCATATTATTGATTTATGGAAGAAAGGAAGGCCTCCACCTCAGCATGTAAGATTATGCAGTGTATACGCTGCAACAAAGAGCAATTTAATCCATGTTTAGCACTTCATCACCTTCTTGGACTTAACTGAGGTGTGTTGTTGTGGATCATGCAAAATCAGCAGCATAAGCAAATGCAAATTTAACAGCATGACTTAGTCCCAAATCTCTTTTCCTTTCAGAGACTAAAATCAAACCCCTTACACTTAATGCACATCACTGCTGTTTCTGTAACTCAAAGAAAAAAATTGAAGGCAGTAAGTAATCTCTTGTAACTTACTGTAAGAGAGTCACAAACTTAATTCATGCTTATTAGTTTAGTAAATGCAGCCATCAAATATAAACCCCAGAAATATGGAGTTCATAAGTTGGTGGGCCATTAACATGGTATTTGTATGGAGTATTAACAGCCATCTAATTAAAATTTTGTACCTACAGAAATGCATCCATTTCATTTGGGCATAAATGATTTTTCCTCCTCCACAAGTTTAAGAAAATAGTAAGTCTAGGTACTCCCAAGGGGTATTTTGTTACAAAATGGTGACTTGAAGAAGTGTTACATGGCTTGTCATTTCTCATTTTTTCATTATCACTGTCAGTGTGAATTAGGTGTCCTCACTGCAAGGAAAAAAAACACCTCTGATTTTTGAGTAACATTATGAGGATTTTTTTTAAAAAGTCAGTAGCCTATAATATACTACAAAACACAAGGCTAGTGTCATGTATGCATGTGATGCAGACAAGGAGCAAGAGTACTGGCACTTACATGTTTCTCACCAACTGGGTAGGCAGGAATCTGATCTTGATCCAAGAACGCATAAAGATTTGAGGCAAAAATTCTTTAAGTTGTTACTACAGTGCTCTTTTAGATAATATTGCAACATTTAAAGTCCAAACCAACTTAAAATATGGTCCCAGTAAGTGTTTGATCATTCTAGTTCAGAGTCTCTTGTTCAGATTTTCTTATTTGAACAAGAAGTTAACAATAAACTGTAGCAGAACCAGGAGTAAAATGAAGACATAGTGCTTAAGCTGCAGAAAGTTGTTGTCCAAGGGTGGTAAATTTGAAGTGACACGATTTCGAAGAGCCATGATGTCCCTATAAATTAATAAAAAAAAAAAAAAAAAGACTCTTAAGTGTTTATCTGATTAACAGTTTCTAATAATGCTGCTGTTCTTAACAGTTCGACTCTGGAAAACTATGAAAAAAATCTATCAAGCACTTTCACCTGCCTACTTTTAGAAAAAGTAATTTACACAGGGCGTGTCTACACATTCATTAATGTGCTTTTGCTACTGCGCATTAAATTTACTACCTCTAATGTGAGGTATGAAATAAATGTGCATTAGGCTGCCCTATTACACAGTAAAGAAAGTGCATGCTTTTTCTTTTTTTTTTTCTTTTCTTTTTTAAGTGAAGCTTAGTGTGCAGTAGCCTATTTTTACTGTGCATTAGCATTTTAGCATGGTTTTTGGTGTGATGACTTAATGCACAAAATAGGCTACTGTGCAATAAAGCACGTGTAGCTGTGCCCAGTGTCAAAAATCAAGACAAAAAATTAAACCACCACAAATAAGGTAAAAAAATAGAAGGGACTTCACTTATGTAATCATATATTCTTCATACTTGTTGAAGGTGATATTAAGTCAACACATTTTATTTTGCAGTTATCTATTAAGATCAGCAGAAAAAAAAAAAAGTCAACCTCACAGCAGGGACAAACGATATGAACAGCCCACATTTTTGCACTTGAATTTAAAATGCTTAAGCACAGAGGTCCACAGAACAGTTCTTAACTTTACACTGATTTATAGTAAAGGCTATTTAACTTCCAGCAGTTTTGTTTTCTTGATATTTTTCCATCTAATTTCTATTACCATTACAGTATTTTAATGTAAGAATCTACAAGGCAGCACAGAACCTATGGAGTTACCTGTACAGCATTCCTTAACAACAGTTGTTAGATAAATGGGTATTCATAATTTAATGTTGTTGAAAACTTATATTTAAAAACAAAAAAAACCCCTTATAACTACGAGCAATGGGCATAATCAACTCTTTCCCCCAATTCTACAGAAATTTTCCAATCAATGGAAGTTTAACATTTCCTTAACATATGTGAACATGCTGGGCAATTTATGTAAAAATTTAATAAAGCACTGACATTAAATTCATCACACACTGGTTTCATTGTTAAGGTTCTACCACGATGCACTGAGCAAAATAAGTGCAACATCAACAAACAGCACTGAAATTTGTTTACATCTGGAAGGGATAATATTTAGTTTTTAAATGGTGGAGTTGCCCAGAAAAGTAGAAAAGTTTAAAAAAAAAAATCTTCAGTCATTTGTGCAATGTGGAATTCCAGTGCTTCTTTCCAGTAATCCTACCTAACACCACAGTGAAGCTGATCTGTATTAATGCTATTTTTCTATCCTATGTCTAAATCCAAGACTGGGGGGAGGTGGAAATCAGGCTTACTAGGACAGCAACATCTTTCTATGAACTATCCTAGAGTATGCTGCACATACCAGAAATAGTTATTAGATCAACAGGTCAAATTTTCAAAAGATATGAAGTGATTTATTTCATTTTTTTTTCACTAACCAGTTTAAATAAGAGCAATTTACATTTCTAGCTTATTTTAAAATAGAACAAACCCCACACTCTGAACTTAAAGCACATGAACACTACCTCTTAATGTCTTCTTGCGTTTCCTTTATAGATTCAATGGCACTCTGTAGTTCACCCAGGTCTGTCCCCTTCTTTCTGATTCTTGTATTATGCTTTAATAGTTGAGCTATAAAAATATGGGAGATGTAATTTGCAAGAATGACTGACTAGGTCAAGGCTAAACACCTTTGATCCCATGACAACTAAAAATGGTTTAAAACATGCATTTGGTGATTTTTTTTCCTGAATTTGAAGTTCTGTTAAACGCTTTGGTTTTTTGTTATTTATCTATATGAAGCACAAATAAAATTAGCTGATCTCGTTGAGCTGAGCACTGAAGTTTCAGCTATAAACTACTACTACTATTTGCATCAGTTTCAATCTGCCATAAACATGGAACTATGTTTTAAAAGAATGTCTTCCATTTTGATAAAGGAAACACTCCGTTGCAAGTGTACAGACACAGTTTCAGAAATGCTAATATACAGCTAAGCCTGTTCAATTTCTTCATCAGCGATCTGGATGATGGGGTGGAAAGTAACCTGTTTAAATTCGCTGATGACACCAAAATTTGGGGGGAGGTGAGCACGCTAGCAGGGAGGGAGAGATTGCAGAGGGATCTGGATAGGTTACAGGGGTGGGCTAACAGGAACAGGATGCGTTTCAATACGGACAAGTGCAGGGTGCTGCACTTGGGCAGTAGGAACCAGCAGCACACTTACACAATGGGGAACTCCCTACTTGAGAGCACGGAGGCAGAAAGAGATCTTGGAGTCATTATTGACTCCAAGATGAACATGGGCCGACAATGCGAGGTCATGGTTGGCAGGGCTAACCGGACCTTGTCGTGCATCCACAGGTGCATCTCGAGTAGAGCCAAGGAGGTGATCCTCCCCCTCTACGCGACGCTGGTCAGGCCACAGCTGGAGTATTGTGTCCAGTTCTGTGCGCCCCATTTCAAGAGGGATGTGGACAACATGGAGAGGGTCCAGAGGAGGGCCACCCGCATGATCCGGGGACAACAGGGCAGACCCTACAGTGAGAGACTGCGGGACCTGAACCTATTCAGCCTCCACAAGAGAAGGCTGAGGGGGGACCTGGTGACCGTCTATAAACTCACTAGGGGGGACCAGAAGGGTTTGGGGGAGACGCTGTTTCCCCTAGCGCCCGCTGGCATAACAAGGAGTAATGGGCACAAGTTGATGGAGAGGAGGTATAGATTGGACATCCGCAAAAACTACTTCACAGTTAGGGCGGCTAGGAGCTGGAACCAACTTCCAAGGGAAGTGGTGCTGGCCCCTACCCTGGGGGTCTTTAAGAAGAGGCTGGATGCCTACCTGGCTGGACTCATTTGAGTCCCGTTTCTCTTTTGGGGTTTTTTGTTGTTCTCCCGCCCTGGCGGGGGGTCGGGCTAGAAGATCTACTAGGTCCCTTCCGACCCTTAATCTATGAATCTATTTAAATTACCATTATGCTTAAGACATTACAAATTTCTGATATCCCACTTCTAATGCCATGATCAATTCACTCCGTGTTATGCATTTAGTCTTTCTGTGAATACAGACCCAAGGAACTAGGACTGCAAATTATCCAGTCTCAGTAGTTATTCTATACTACAAATATTGTGAGCTTAAAAAAAAAATGAGGAAGTTAAAGGACTACCGTTGTGGTGTTCAATCTAACTGTAAAGTCAAACAGAAATGTGTCAGGGATGTGCCCTCTGTCATCTCTAAACCAATGATGGTGGATGTCAGGGGACAGATCACTCTAGATATACCCTACTTCATCTGCTCTCCCTCTATTACTGCCACTGTTGGAGACCTATTCATGAATAAATAATAGCTTTATTGAACAGCTGCAGCTTAACCCACCTTCGCTTCCAGAGGAATCTTGATTATCCGGTTCTGGAGAAGAGAAACCACACTCCCCTTTCTTTTGCTGACTGGCTAGCTTTCGCTTTATTTTTGGAACGCTAACCTGCAAATGACATTTATATTTATCTGCACAGAACCAAAATTGCAGTAAAAAAAATCCATTTTATAAGAGCGGCTGTTTTGTATCAGATAAAAACACAAGACATCATAGAAAGCTTGAGTTAATATTAGCAGTATAAAGCCAGTCCAAGGTCTGGAGGGCTTACATTAGATTATTTATAACATACCAGGTGCTTTCTAACCAACTGAGTCAGTTTTAATGCTTACCACACAGTAGCTAGAGGGCAAGATTAGGAACTGACCAACCGGACTGTATTTCTCTAGAAGGGTAAACAGTCAATGTTTGGAGGAGCTCCAAATTTAAAACTTGACTCTGCAAGTCTCTCAGCTTGGTTATGATTACTGTGACCCAAGTCAGAACGTACCATTGGGGTCCTATGTTGAACTTTTGTTTGGATGGCGCCATCTTTTTCAAACTGTATCATATCATTCAGTAGATCCCAGGGTCTGGTACTATACAGAAAATGGACACAATTAGTTAAGAATCATAGAATCACAACCTAATTAAGAGGAAAACCATTTACATGCTTCTACTGTAAGGAAAGGATTCAAACATGCATATATTAAAGTAAACAGTGCCAGTTTGACACCCACGCATATGAACCCCCACAAGATAAGAACAAGTAAGGAAGCTTGCTGATCATCCTGCTGCCATGCCTCTGTCCCAACCTAGAGGGACTATATGCTTAAAGATGAGGGGGCAGCTAAGTATCCAAGTCCTGGTCACTATCTACTCAGACTAATAAGAAACACGAACACAGCAACCAATGTCAAGTTTGATAAAATACGTGTTTATATTTATATATAAATATTTTTAACTTTTTGCAAGAATATACCATATTCTGGATCTTCATAGGAAAAAAAAAGCTTGTGCTCTTCAAAAGAGGAAATGTGGTATCTAGTTCTTCTATAGAATATTTCATCCACAGATCTCAAAGCTCCATGATGGGTCTAAGAGCAGTTCTCTTATACGTGAATATTTCTAATGGACAATCCTCCTCCTCTAGCTAGATATAATTCTCATTAAAAGGTACAGAGTTGTCAGGATTGATCTCAAAACCAAATCTCAGACATGATAATGTGTGTAGTAGGTGCCAACATGATAGACACAACATTGATTTCAGAAGTACTGCAAGGGTAAGACGAACCTTTTGAATATTTTGCTTTTTGCCCCTTTGGAGTACATACAAGTATCTAGTATTGCAAAAGAAACAATACCATCGCCAATGTTCACCACATAATTCACTAGAAAAAGGCTCAATTTTGCCATTGGTCTAAGAACTAAACCTCACTGAAGTTGCTAGCAAATGCCATTAAACATCAACAGGCAGACAAGGTAAGAGTCATACTTGTTTGTATACTTGCCGAGTTACAGCTCTATCCTCTGATGCAGAACCACAAGACTTTAAAAGCAAACTGTACATGTCCTAGTTGGAAGTTGACGAGAACTGTTGGGACTCCCCTACACTAGGGTTACCATACGTCCAGGTTTTCCTGGACATGTCCTCTCTTTGGATCCTTCAATTTCTGTCTGGGCAGTTTTTTTTTTTTTTTAAATCTGATCAAGTGTCTAGGATTTTGGTCAGCTCAGCTTTGAAGTTTTTCCTGGCCTGCCCTAGCAAGTAGCTGTTTGGGTCTGGGGGAGCAGGGGAGGGCGACTGGGGGCAGGG